CATCGGAGTTTTATTGAGAAGTCAACTATACAATAGTTGATCTCATGTATTATTAAAGAGTATTGTAAAAGAGAAATAACTTTACATTTTACACTTGTTTATTTATATCTTCTTTTCTAAGATAACTTAAATTAATTCTTAATAAACTTCATTATTCGTGTATTTACATGAACTTTATTTTAATTATTATTTTCATATTAAAAAAAAATCCATTTCAGTAAGGCAATGTCTATAAAAATATGAATTTAAAATTCCTCTTGTCTTTACTTCTAAAAAATCGTTCATTTTCTTTATTAATTATTATTGCATAATAAAAATGTAACAGGTTTATAGTGTTAAAACTTGATTTGATTAACATTTTCCAACATTTTTAAATTGATTCAAACGCAAACCCTTAAATATCTCGATATATGAAAAAATTGTATATTACGACCCAGTTTGGTATGATCAAATATCACGATTAATGAAGATGTCTGTATCAAAACTTAGAACAAACATTATTTTTATTTATATATATAAAAATATTTCAGATTCTTCATTCTCAGAAAAGGATAAATTCATATTGATGACCGATGCCTCTGTGAAAATAGACTTTGAACAAATCGGCGATAAGTATGAGCTTTTTTTTTAAATTAATTCCTAATTACAAAATTAATAATAATATTTTTTTTTATATTAGAGATGATAGCGTAAATATTAAAACGCTTTTCTACGGCGAAGCATCGGTTCATCGCGTTGCCTTGTGGGTTTACATATTGTCCATTGCTCTTGGTCTTCTGCTGCTGCTTTTAATCATTTTCGGTCTGACGAAGTGCGGGTTCTTCAATCGCAAAAAGAAAATGGAGCTCGAGGAACTGAAGAAAGCCGAGGTATGTTATAATTTTGAGATTCCATGTAGAATCTTAATCATCATAATCTAAACTTTAACATGTTGAACATTGTAGAAAAGTATTTTAAATTTTATTTTTAAATATTCATTTAACATTGATATTAATAACTAACAAAAATCTATTCATATATCTCAGAATGATTAAAAAAACAACATTCCAGATTTAATACAACGTATTTTAATGCTGATCTTATGCTGAACGAGTGTGTTCAGTATTCAAACTGAAAATATTCAATTGTAATATACATATGTTGAGTTGAATAAAATGAAGAGAAAAACTGTCCAATCTATTAAAAGTTGAAATTTTAAGATCGACTTTAAAGTTTCAGAGCTATAAGACTTTTACTCCAATATACGAAACTAATATTTACTATTTAACTATTGATCTTTGATCACAAAGTCTAGATTTAGTAATTTTTTGTTTCAATGACGTTAAGGTTTTTATTAAAATTCAACTATTTTCTGTATGTAGTACAATATTATGGTTGAAACAATAATACCCAATATTTTATGTTACGTAAATTCAACGTTTTTATATCTTATGGTTTATTTAAACTATCACTTCAACATTTCTGCAAATTATTTTAGAATAACAATACCGGAAGTTTTTTTTTTATATGAAAATAATTAGTTCATTATATTTGTTGTTTTTTATATTTTGGATGTTAATATTAATTAATTATAACTATCAAATCTAGTAGTTGCCATAAAACAAATGCGAATACTACGAGAATTGCAAACACTTGCAACATAAGTTATTGTTGCCATGGAGATGCTTGTCATAAAACAAGTACTAATACTACAAGAATTGCATAATAAGCATAGAGATACAGTTATAAAAATTAAATATGGAGAAAAGCACGACTGAACAACGTTTGAAATTAATCAAATTTTATCTACAAAATGAACGCTAACGCAAAGAGAGTTTGTTAATAAACAAAATATCCAATTTCCGGAGACGAAAAACCTAAAAATAATCCACCAACGTGGGCTGTGCACTTTTGGGACACCCTATATATACTAGTAACTACATTGTACGAGCAATACAATACTGTTGTCATGACAATGTACATCCGTCAAACTTGGTTACTTGGCAAGTATCCGTTCATCAGAGATATCCGTCAAATACGATTAATATGAATGTCATTTGTCAGATAAAGACAATATTGTATTTTTTTTTCGAAAACTTATTTCGGTCGCACGTCATTATTTTTTTGTGCGATAAGGAGAAAGCAGAAGGCGGCGTCCTCAGTCTCTAATGCAGGTTTAATTCTTTAATTGCCCTATTGTAAATCAATATGACGTTGATCCGAAATTGCCGACCCGACTCATAAATGCCTCAACGATAACGTTCTCACTTACAAAGATCACAATCCTCGTTAATGTATTACATGTTTTTTATATATAAGGATATTAATTGTTAATAAATAACCGAGCGCCGATAAATATTTAGCAGTCTTAGTATTGGAGGAAACGCTTTAATCCGTTTCGCAAACAAACAAATCCTTATCTAGTACGGTTACGAAATACACAAAAAAAAAATCGACTCAACAAACAATGTTAAATGTTGTCCGTTTCGTAAGTTTCTGATAGCTAAATGTATAAGTTAACTTGATACTTGTATTTAAAACAACATTTCAGATTATTTTGTTACTTTGTTGTTTGTGATTTTCTTTTATTTTTTCATTTCCATCGATTATTCTTTAAATCTTAGTTTTTATGTAGAATTCACATGAACATATTATGAGTAATTATTGTAACAGAATTTGTATGTTATGAAAAATAGTATAGAGTTTTGCAATGTTTTTGAATGTTAATATTGGAATAGAAGTTGCATCGTCTGGTAGATATTTTAACTCTCATTTAATGATTATTGTGGATATATCCAATAAATATATTTCATTATAAAAAAAAAATACATTTTATAGAAACAAAATTCGAAATCAAATGCAGTCTACATCTTACATAATAACAAAGTATTCTAGCTTTGCATAAAATGCTGTTTAATAAATGAATTTTTATATGAAAATAATTAGTTCATTATATTTGTTGTTTTTTATAACAAACAATGTTAAATGTTGTCCGTTTCGTAAGTTTCTGATAGCTAAATGTATAAGTTAACTTGATACTTGTCTTTAAACCAACATTTCAGATTATTTTGTTACTTTGTTTCGTACCTTTGTTGTTTGTGATTTTCTTTTATTTTTTTCATTTCCATCGATTATTCCTTAAATCTTAGTTTTTATGTAGAATTCACATGAAAATATTATGAGTAATTATTGTAAACAGAATTTGTATGTTATGAAAAATAGTATAGAGTTTTGCAATGTTTTTGAATGTTAATATTGGAATAGAAATTGCATCGTCTGGTAGATATTTTATCTCTCATTTAATGATTATTGTGGATATATCCAATAAATATATTTCATTATAAAAAAAATACATTTTACAGAAACAAAATTCGAAATCAAATGCAGTCTACATCTTATATAACAACAAAGTATTCTAGCTTTGCATAAAATGCTGATTAATAAATGAATTTTCATTAAAAGTCTGGAAAAGAATTGCTTATGAATAAAAGTTTTTGGAAAATTACTTAAAAACAGATAACTTTGAAAAACAAATATGAATTTTACTCAAACATGTGAATTAATAAGATTTAAGAAAATATGCTATTAATTATTATTCACAAAAAAGAAGAGATAAAATGCTTTCCAGAAATTAAATATATATAGAGTGACGCAAGAATGTATGAAATTGTGATCTTTTTTTTTGGGAAGGTCGGTTTGCTTGCAAATGATGGAATAATAAAAATAATAGATAAGATGTTCTTATTTGTGTGGATTTGTGGAGAAAAAAATGTATAATTAAAAAGAATGTGCGCGCGTTTTTTAAGTGGGAGTGTGCGAAATATATATAAAAAAAAGCGTATAAATAACCTCGTAACCAGAAGGAAGTAATTTAAAAGTTTGTTGTTTTTTTTTTGTCGTGAAGTTAAAAATACAATGAGTAAACTAATAACGGAGATCCGACCTCAAACGAGGGAGATCATCGAGAAACATTTGGAAGGTCTTTCGTACAGTGAAATTGAGATAGATGTTGAGAAGGGGAGCGCCAAAGGGGATAACTATTTGGGGATAATAACGAAAGCGACTGTGAAGGCAAAGAGCAAGGAGGGTGTGAAACGCACTTTCCATTGGATTATCAAGAACGCTTCGGATAACGAAGAATTTCGCCTTCTGATGCACATCAAGAATCTGTTCACCAGAGAGATATACATTTATCAGAGTGTTTTCCCCGAGTTCTTTAAGCTGCAAGATGAATTGAACATTAAGGATCGGTTCGAGAATGTCCCGCACGTGCACACCATCTTCGACGGGGTACCGGAGACGATCATCATGGAGGATTTGAAGGAGCAGGGTTACGTAATGCTGAACAGACGCAAACCTCTGGATTATGATCACTGCATGATGGCGCTTAAAGAGTACGCCAAGTTTCATGCGCTCTCCTTCGCTTTGAAGCATAAAAGACCCGGCGTTTTCAAGCAGTTATCTGATAATTTACATGAGAACTTCTTCTCGGTCATGGGCGTCGAAGGGATGAACATCAACATGGCCAATTTAAACGATAAGGTCTTCAAGGCGATGAAACCGGAGGACGAAGAGGCGCTCGATAAATTCAAGAAGTACTCGGAGAACGCGTTCGGTATGGCCGTCGATCAGATCCAGGCGGAATCTGCAGGAGAATACGCCGTGGTCACGCACGGCGACAGCTGGGTGAACAACATCCTCTATAAATACGACGATAAGAGTCAACCGGAGGTGCCCACGAGTCTCTCCATCATAGATTTCCAGATGTCCAGGCTCGGCTCTCCGGCTTTGGATCTGATCTACTTCATATTCACGTGCACATCGAAGGAACTGCGCGATTCGCATCTGCAGGAAATGCTGCAGGTCTACCACAAATCTTTGACTGATTTCCTCAGACAGTTCTCGCTGGACACGGAGAAGGTCTATCCCTACTCGATCCTTCAAGATCACATGCGTCAGTTTTCTGCTTACGGATTGATGATGACCATAATGGTCACGCATCTGATGATGAGCGAAGGCGACGAGACGCCGGATCTCGAGAACGCCGATCTCACCGATCACGCGGGATTCGAATCTTCTTTTATCTACGAATCCAAGAACGAGGCGCTCTTCGGCGAAAGGATACGTGACGTCGTCATCGATATGGCAGCACAAAACTATATTTAATGTATATAATACCTTAATTATTACCTAACTAATTAATAGATGTGATTTTCACTTTCACTTTCAAAGCCCTATTCATTTGTTTTATTGTTTCAGGTGGTTGAGGAATTTGAAACCAACGCAGAGTGTAGGACTTCTACAATTATAGATGATTCTCCTGAGGATGTCTAAACTTTAACATAATTATTTTTTTTTTATAATAATGTTACATAACTTACTATATTTTAATAATATATTTAAATCATTCATCACGTTAGAGTATAAGTTAGATAATTGACCATTCAAGATGAATGAAATGAAAATTTGTATTTATTTAAAAGTGTAATTAAATAAATTTGCTTTATATTTCATAGTTTTTATCAATTATTTTCTTTTTGCTTATTTGAACAAAAACGATTTATAGATGGCGAACTCGGATTCCTTGTCACTTGGATACATATGATGAGGTAACCCTCTTCCACTTCCAATATGTTATATGTCTCGCTCTGTCGCGCCACTGGTAAAAGTGTCAAAGGTACGTCATTAATGAATATAGTCATAAAGTATATGTGAAGTGTATTCATTCATTAAGTATTTAAGTGTCCTTTTCTTTATTTTTCTTTTTACCATATTCATAAGGCTGATGATAGATAGCTTTAATAATAATAAATTTAAAAAAAAAATTATCTTATATTGGTTTTATCAAAATGATCAGTGACAAAACAAACGTCCAAATAAGTTTATTTTATTTAAAATAAAATAAATTATATATAATTCATATTCTTTTTTTTTTCGTATTGTTGCTTTACCTTGATAAAAATCAATAATACACGCGGACACGGATACCACGCAACGTCGGTTCTTCAAAGCAGAAATCAAATGAATGCGGGTAGTCCCCACCCAAAACAGGACCGTATTATCCACTAAACGCAACCCTGAGACAATAAATGTATGAGGCAATATAATTGTTTCTTTTTTTTTGCAGAAAAATATAGCATACGAGGAATTTAATCAACGAAATTAAGCAGAAAAACTTAAGTTTATAGCTCTTTCGTCCAAATTAGAGGAAATGTATAAAAAAAATAAAATAATAATCAATGAAATAATATAGATTTTGATCAAAGTTTTCAATAATACAGCATAAATAACTATTTAAAATAGAAGAAATCTGTTACTTGTAGAATATTGACAAACGCATGATACAAATATACATGAGTCTAATTCTCATGAAAATATAATTACTATAACATTAGAACAAAATTACTTTATTCAAAATTTTCTAAATCGAAAGCTTCTTTTCCTCTCCACACTTCTTAGGTATATTTGAAGTTGTTAATATGCAACTATAACTACAGATCGGCGAAAATATTAGAAATATTTCGCGAACCAATTTACAATTAAGATGAAATTCAAATCCAGTAATCAGTAGTCAGTAATTAGTAAATTAAATCAATAATTTTATAACATGGTTTGAAGAACACTGGTATAGAGTAAACATAAAAAGAAAACAAGTTGGTTAAATGACTTTTGGTATAATGAATTTAATTACACTACACTATATTTCGCTTCGAGAGAAACGGGCATTAACGCCGTCACCCTTTCATTAAAATTTACAGAGAAACAATAAAGTTATTCATATAGTTTTTATGTAATTAAAAATAAAACATTAAGCACATATGTTTTGTATGCAATCAAACTATTTCTATTTAATTTAAATATGCGAATTCTAGATTCCATTGATTCTCTCGTTGTTCTATCATGCTTGTCCTTAAGTGAGTTTTAATTAATTTTAATTTAGAAATATTTCTTTTTACTCTTACAAAGAAAGTTTGTAAAGTAGTTAAATATATATATGTTTCGGTTACATTTTGATTGGTTTTAGAGATTCTTCCTAAACAAAGTTACATTTTACTAAATATAAAACATTAAGCACATATGTTTAACATGTTTTATATAATAATAAAATTACTAATTGTACATATCTGTACAATGCACAGTTTGATGGAAATCAGTCAGTGACACTAATTTGTATTGTTTAATAATCTATTATCTCATAGACTATTTAAATAGAATAAAAGATAAGTATCCAAGCAAACATAAAATAAAACTAATAATTCCTATTTTAAATAAATTATATACTATTGTTTACTATCATTATTGAAATCGCTGAAATTGTCATATGTCGTTCTCATGCATAGTTTTGAGTATATTATAAAAAAAATACGCTTAAATAATTAGTATTAATTGTATGAGAAAAAATACTAATGTTTTTACTTCATCCTATTTTTTTTTTAATTTCTAACTAAATCAGCAAAAAATTAGTAAACCAATAATTGAGCTGAAATACCTTTGCAGTAGTTGACTTTTTATTTTTATTATTTATTGCTGGAAAAAAATAAGATTTTTCGCAAATCTAATGTAAAAATAAACATCTCTCGTTATATCTAAAATAGATCAATTCAGTAAAGTTCTTTCTAAGTTCTATATAACTGTATGTGAATATGGAAAGAAAAATATGTTGTCTGAACAAGATCATTTATTTAGTTTAAGTTCGCTAAATGCGCCAAATCTTTAAGAAAATATATAAACAAAACAACGACAATTACAAAAGTTCTCGTTACTTGATCAATAAAGGCACTCTCCCTAACTTTCAATTACAACAACCATAAAATGTCCCACAATGTATATAACGAAATAAATAATTATTAATAGATGTGCGTTTCTTAATTAACATAATAATTTAAAGCATAACGTAGAGAGAGATTGAGACACAAATAAAAATACCTCCAAATTTTATTTTCGCTGACGTAGACCCCTTGTAGGTTGTCATAGACCACTGTGGGGTCGATATAGACCATTTTGGGAATCACTGATCTAATTAGAAATCAAGAAAGTACAAGATAGGCAACTTGTTATACGTGACTATAGTGTTGCGGAAAAAGTGCGCTTTTGTTTGTACGTTTGCATAAGATGATGGGATGTTGTTACCAACCGATTAAAGTGACAGCTGTTATTGTTTTTTGTGTGTGTGTATGTGTGTGTTGTTGTCGCGCGAGCGTATGTGTGCGTACGTGTGCGTGTGTATGTGTGTGTTTGTGTGTGAATCTGGTGCATTTGCAATCCGATCAGTTGGTGTGTCTGTGTGTGTTTTAATAAAGAGAGACGTTGATTAAAAATGGTGGATGTTTGTCATTAAATCATCTCGCCATCTGATTGGAAATATGCGCTCAGGTTATTCGCGTGTGGTTTAGAATTTTCGTGCTGCTGCGAGGTGAAATGGTCGGCCCGTGCTGAATCGCCCGTGCTGGTTCTTTCTATATTAAGGCAAAATGTGCGATGCGTGCTCCGATTTCTTGCAGTTACTATTATCTTGTAAGTTTTGTATGGAACCGATTTGTTGCACACACACACTCATACATATGTATATACATACATGCATGCATATATGCACTCGAAGAGGAAGATACCGGCGCGGACTTTGCAAAACGAATTTGCCATCTGCAATTTACTCAATTTCCATTGAGTTTTTCATCAGCTGGATATGTAACACACACACACAGAATGCATTAGCCTCTATCCTCTATTTCTGGATGCATTGAAACAAACAAAAATAACAGTCATGTCCCATTCATTACAAATAACTTCAACCTTTCCTTTGTTTCTCTCCAAACTTATTTGATTTATATACATTTATTTTGTGATTGTTTTAAAAACAAATGAGCCATTATTTTTTTTTGTATAAACAACTTGCATTTATTTCCAGATGAAACTAAAGTCTCGAGAGAGCCCATTGAGCTACCCGTGTTGAGCAAACAGGACATAGCAGTTCTGCTGCTTTACATACAAACATGGCCAACAAGGTATATTAATCAATCAATTAAATTATTGACATTAAAAAAAAACAATTAACTAAAAAAGTAAACAAATATGTTTTTGATGAATCTTAACAATTGTCATAAGTAATATTTGTTTAAGCAATTTGGAGCGACATATGAAATTTTATGTTTATTGTTTTGCAGGCAATGCATGTGCTGCTACAGAGATCCGAAAAACCTGGAGAGATTCAGCATAATAACGCAGGGTGTTATATACGTTTCGGTGTGTCAGCTGAAGGCGTTGAGCGAGAGTGAGGTGCAGAAGCAGACGAAGAGCGACGATGAGAGTGGAAAATCTCAGCCGGCGCCGCCTCTGGACGAGGAAGCCGTATCGAAGATACAGGAACGTGATAAGCTGCTCATTCTCGTCTCGAAGATATTCCTGCTGAATTTTCCGCTGTACGTTGCGTTCAAGCACACCATTCAGGCGAAACTCGACGATCTGACGCAGCAGGAGATCCAAGCTCTAAATCTGTTCTGCGATCTACACGATTCGGAGATTCCGATTTACTTGCTCAGGAACGTCAGCCTGTTTTGCAAGACCGGTGGGTTGCATGCCATGACGTCGTGCTTCACTCAACTTACGCCCGAAGCTCTACCAGTTTCAACGGCGCATGCTATGATCTCTGTAGGTGAGTTATTCTTTGGTCTAATCCAGTGTTTGGATCTGTGAAAAGAATAGAATATAATGATGCTGATTGTCATGAAGAAAATAATGTTCTTTTCCTCAGAAAATTATGAATATGTTTAATGATATTTAGCGAATTGATCAACATTTAATCATACTTGAGTTTTTGTACAAATATAAAGACACTCTAGTGAAACGGAGATAATTTTGTACGCGAATTACAGCCGTACGGATAAATCCACAGTAATATATGAATACTTGCTACATTCCCCAAACATTCAGCTTTAATATGCATCTTTTGGATTCATTCTATGCATTATAGTTTTCGAGAAAATCAATGAAATGTGAAAACACTGCTTTTTCGAGCATTTTTTAAACTTTGAACGCGAATTACAATTCCCCAAACATTCAGCTTTAATATGCATCTTTTGGATTCATTCTATTTATTATAGTTTTGGAGAAAATCAATGAAATGTGAAAACATAGTCCTAACAGAGCACAGATTCATATAAAACATAACAGAAATAAGTTTCGTATTTGATAGCTATTTTGGAGGGAAAATTTAAGGACAAACTTAAGAAATAGAAAGTTATTTTATTTGAGAAAAATTATATTTATTTTTTCTAGGTTCATTCAAAGAATAATAATGTTTATCTGTGGTAATTCGGGTACGTTAACGCTCGGAAATTGAAAAACAAGGATAATACAAACATTGTTTTTATTTACTTTTTTTATGTATTGATATTCAAAACACATTTTTGATAATTGTAATATGTAATTTTTGATTGTTTTCCTTTTAAATTTATTTGCGGATTTGCAGATAATTTAATTGTTTAATTTATAAAATAAACAAATTGATTTATATCAGCGTCTCACTGATATAAATCAAATCATAACAAAAATTATATTAAACGTTGCTATTTACCATAGGTCTTTTCGCTCAAAGTTCTATTATTTTTCAAGATTTTTCTATTTTATTTCTGCTCAGGAAATAAGTTTTTTTTTAATTGATCGTTATGACTTATATTTCATCATTAGAATTTACTTAAAAATGCAACAGTAATTTATGTTTTGGAAGATAAAGAAAGGAACAAATTTACATATACAACAAAATAAACAAACGTAAACGTTAAAGGAACTAAAATATAATGTTTGTTTAGGAATATTTATTTTGGTGAATATGTATATTCATGTTGATTTGTTGTTTTTTCCTTTTAGTTTGCAACTTAAAGCTATGGATGAACTTTAAGAGTATGATGTCTCTACTAGTTCCATTGAGGTCTTGCGTTTTACGTTACATGTGCAAATTATCGGATCAAGATCTACGTACTCCGACGATAAAAAGCATGGCTGGTAAGTTATTTGTCTATTTTATTTGTAACACACTTCATAAAAGAAAATTATTGTATCTTAACTTTTGTAGTTAAGATATTGCAATGAACATAATCGAACAAATCAAACATTGACCATCAATGATGCTCATAATTCTGGAAGAAAATTCTGTAGAAAAACATACCGTCCGGTCTGTTATCAATTTTTCTGCGACCCCCAAGTATTTTTCGCGAGAATCACTGATCTAGAGTACAGGGCTCATCAATTTACGTCTCTATATGAATAAATGCGACATTTTCATTATTATTTCTGATCTGGTACAATGATCTAAATCAATAAGACTTCGTTTTTATTTAATTATATTTTAATGTTTAAAGCTCAACGGGCTTTATTATTTAGTTGGAATCATTATTTTTTTTAAGTCACTAAACTCAATATATTGAATCTCGCGAACCACTAAATTCAAAATTTATAATCCCGCTGCCCACCGATTGGTGATCTCTGTACTAACAGGGCATGGTCATACTTTTACAAACATTCTAAACATTACTAATATGTACGTTTTCTCTTATGATCTATAGCAGTGCTTCGCAAATCTACTAAGTTTGCGCACCAACGGGCTGTAGTATATAATAGGGTTCCATTTGAAATGTTTCATTCCATTAAAAATATACGTTTCTGATGTAATTTTCATGCGAATATAAATTGTTTTGATTATAGATTTTATGTGGAATGCAATTAAAGATCCATTAGATACACCAATGGCATTTGATTTGGATGGTTTAGATTTGGCATTCAAGTATTTCACGTCTAGTACGCTCACGATGCGATTGGCCGGCATCACGCAGATCAACAACCAGATCGGCGTATTGGCCGAACTCTGTGTAGGAGAGGGTCTTCCGGAAGCAGAAGCAGCCCCTCGACACATGGCCGATTGGCTCATCAGTAACAATATTATTTCTCATATATTCGGTCCAAATTTACATGTAGAGGTAATATTTAAAGACGCGTTGCACACGTACCTTTAACGCTTAACAAATCAACGAAGGAAATCGATGCCGATAACGTTACATATTCTTAACTTGTTATTTGTAGGTTATTAAACAGAGTCATATTATTTTAAATTTCTTGGCGATGGAAGGTCGCATAATGTGCGAACATATGGACATCATCTGGGCGGCGGCACAGTTGAAGCACTGCGCGAAACCCGTTCATGATTTGCTTCCCGGATTGGTGAAACATCTTTCGTCGCCGCCGGCCTTGCATCTTTACAGTTTACTAGTTAAATTGGAACCTAAAGATCACACCGAACAGGTACGAAATTATTGAAATTATCACTCATTCCACTACAATCTATTTTTGTTTTTGCAGACCCTCTATTTGGCATCAGCGTTGATAAAATTTATATGGACTCGAGGTGGAGCAGGGGCGGAAACGGGATTGATCAGTTTGGCGGCTTCAGCTGCTGGTATAGCGTTACATAAATGTGCTAGTTCATCAGAAAACAGTGTCAGTTTAGATCCCAGCAATTCTGAAGAGGACCACCCGGACAGCGGACATTCGGAGAGCCACAAATCCGACAGCGAGGATATCGATGGGGTGGAGATTGATGAGGATATTGCGGTGGATAGCAGCGAAGGACCAACGCCATGTAAGATGCCCAGGAAGCAGACCTGCAACGTCGTCGTGGAAGAGGCTGGAAGCAGCAGCGACAACCTCGACTCCGCCAAAAGAAAGGCCAAAGACAAGATGAACAGCGGTGGATCTATTAGAGCTAAGCCCGAAAAGAGGCAAATGTAACACTATATTTTAACATTTTCAATTTTCTTTAAATATTAATCATTGGTTTTCAGAAGTTCTGTGCGCAAAAAGCTATTAAACAGTTCTAATGAGATGCCCGAAGGTATTGAGACAATCGCATCCAGTAGTTCGCAAGACGAAATTGAAGGAACTGATGCGTCCAAGTTTCGGAAGAGGAGAAAAATGTTAAGAAAAAATAGGGTTAAAAAGATAAGAGGTAAAAAAGTTAATTGGTAGTGTAAAAAAAGAACCGCGAGTGGTAATATAATTATAATTGAATATATTTTTAGAATCATTAGAAAGTAATATAATATTGAATCTGGTTGTAATTTCAGATAAGCGTAGACCCGATGTTGCAGAAATTGAGACATTGAGCGATGCCGAAGCAGATAGCGATCAAGAAATCAAACGTGCTGCATTAAAGGAAGTTGCAAGTCTCATGATGCCAGCAGAAGTGAATAGTCTTGTGGATGCGTAAGTGACTATTCGCAATTAATGATATTTAATAGAATGTGTATATTTTATGCAGTGGATTGAAACAAGCTGTGTATTTAGAAGAAAGCTCCTCTTGCAGCGAATTGGGCAAAGAAGCTGCAGCGTTGGAGGCTCATGAAGGTCCATGTACTAATTCTTATCTCACGATTCATCCACGTTCTGCAAGGTATATTACAATGCTTGAACTATCCTTTAATACTGTTTTAACATTTGTAGTCACATGTTGGAACTTTTAAGCGGCGATGAAGCTGAAGTCGAGGGCGACGCTGATGGTAGCTACTCATCGAGAATGAGCAATAAATCAGAAAAGAACATGGCAGATTTTGATGGAGAAGATTCCGTTTGCGAGGAGGAACTTGCTCAACTTGCAGAGCAACAAGTATGTTACATTTAAATCACTTATATAACTACAGTTTGAACACTAAATAATATTATTTTGTTGAAACCAGGCTCAAATGAATTTGCACGCTCTGATAAGCCGAGCTTCGCCTGAAAAATCTCCGGTGCGTTTAGATCCTCGATTATCCGCTTGCTTCAAATTGGAAAATGTCTGTCAGCCAGGAAATACCCTTCTCTGGGATTTGCTGCAAGATAACAAAATTGGTCAGCTGGGGGAAGGTCTAGCATTGGAAGCGGAGAAAACGTTGTGCAATCTTCTTTGCTACAATACGGAGCGCATCATTCGTATGAAATTTATAGAAGGGTGTTTGCACAATTTAGCGAATAATACGTAAATATACCTTGTTAATCATTTATAACAAATTATATAAACTGATCTTGCTTTATCATTTCAGATCTGTGATAGTGTCGCTGCGTTTGCTACCAAAATTACTAACATCTTTTCAACAATTCAGAAACCTCGACATGCATCATGTAACTCATTGGGCGGAACGTCAGCATCACATGATGTCGCATTTCTTCAGCAACTTGAAAGCTTACACTGCAAATCCGGATAAGGTTGTGCATCTGTATTCGCATCAGATGGAGGTGCAGGTCCGATTACATTTCCTTTCGGCCGTTTTCTCACCGTTGGTTTCGCCCAGTAATTTCAAGTACATTCACAGGTGTATTTGGTTCATTTTGAACATCTTTCTAAATGTTTCTGATTCCAGATTGGTAATTGAACAAGTGGATACTTTGTGGGAATGCTTGGCGCACGACGCCGAATGTGCAGATGAACTCTTCAGTTGGTTACTGTCTCAAGCAAAGAGCACCGAACTGCATGCTCTGGGCATTGAAGCACTCAAACGCTTGTATCTCGTCCACTTGCCAAGCTTATCACCGGAAACTTTCAGCATGACTTGCTTGAGTCTGTTCCAGCAACTTTGTAATTTGGCTAGAATAGCGACTGCTAATATGGACAGCAGTAGCCAAGACGGTTACATCCTCGGTATGGATCATATGTGGAAAATTGCGCTTAGAGCAAACAGCACAGGTATTTTAAATAATTAAAAGTATATAAGGTAATTATTATAGTTGATTTATACTTTGTAACGCAGATGTTAGTATGGCAGCTATACAATATTTGAACAGCTACTACATGGGACAGAATCTGCAACATGAAAGTCAATTTGTGACGCAATGTATGACGAATTTGGCCGCTGCTACCGAAGATTTGGTTAATGCGAAATCTCCAGGATCCGAAGAACCTCCTCTGCTGTGCATTCAAAGAGCTTTGTTGTTACTGAAAACACATATGGAGACGTTCAGGAGAAGGTATAATAATTAATTAATAAACTTTACATATTTTAGTCTAATACTAATAAATATTTCTCTAGGTATGCCTATCATCTGAGGAGATGGGCTTTAGAAGGCAAAGGTATTGGAAGTCACGCTTCTTTAGGTGATCGAACATCCACACCAATTAGATTGGTTATTCAACCAGCTGGAATGTCTGAAAGGTGCTTATTGGAATTACTTGGATCCGATTACGTGGCGGATCTTAGAGCAGAAATAGCAAAATGGTGGGAAGATCTTTGTAATGTGAGTGAATTCTCCAATTTATTCCATATTAACGCAAACTAAAATATTTCGTCAATTTTGTTATTTTCGCAGCTAAAAAGATCCGAATCGGAAAACGCCGCCAATTCGCTTAGCGATAATCCGATTCGTATTATTACGCAAGGACAAGAGTTAACAACAGATTGCGATGAGAAGACGTTAGCCGAAATGGGCTTCAAGGAGAATCAAGTATGCGCTTCTTTCTTCTTTCCGAACATTATTCTTACTTATGAACATTATTTCAGATGGTGTACATATCAATGGGGGTTTCAAGAAACATGAAGAAACGCGACTGCATGGATTCCCCGTCATTGCAGCCGTCGCCACCACGCGAATCTATCCCAACTCTGCTACTCTTAAGACCAAAATATTTCGAGCAATTGTTCAATTTAATGCACACACTGAGTTCAATGAAAACACAAGTCAAGGGTGGCGTAAGTATAGCGTAGCGTTACGTATTCTATTCTTGTTTATTATTTTACATATAGACTTTTGATCTAAAAACGAACGGCGTCAGGAAATAAGAAATTTCACTTTCTAAAAGACTGGTTATTTTTTTTTTATGTTCCAGTAAATTACATTGAATTTAGAATGTAAATACTGTTTTTAGCACCAAATACCGCACACGAAAGCCCAAGTTTTGAGCAGACGAGTATGGGAGATATTGAGCCTGCTGCCCACCAATCCCACTCTCCTTCGAGGTTTCCAAAAGCTGGACACGCCATTGCAGGACCTTCTAGATCCTTCCAGCGCGCAGAAATTGATGTACAGTCTTTATATTGTCGAATCGCTCAGCGTGAAATCCACTCCGAAATCGGGAGATGGACCGCAGGAGCCGTGGAATCGTTTCTTTATACAGCATGGCGGTCTTAGACACATCTTTGATATTTTTATGTCAGGTAAGATTGAAAGTAAGTCTTTATAAATAAAAAAATACAATAATTCCTCGCCTATTTTATCGTATATTAGTTTTCATCGCATTTTTTTAAATTTATTGTATTTGTTTGATTAATTCAAAGTATTGTAACTATTATGTATAATTTAATTTTTATATAATTATAGGTGTGTTGCAAAGATCGGGAGGAGACGGCAGCGAATGGCAGCAAGATTGCTTGGCTTCTCTTTTAAAGCTGTTATGTCAGCTGGGCGTAGAGCAGTTGCCGCACGAAACCAGACCTAGCAGGACTGAGAAAATCATTATACCTAGCTTGAATGAAAGTATGTTAGCTATGTTGGATGTTAAAACAGCGATGCCTCAATTAACTAGCATACTAGAAGAAGCGTCACTGCCGCGCGATCCAAATCATTATAAAACAGGCTTCTGGGGTCGCGCTCAGGTAATTATCTTGCAAGAATAATCATTACATACTAATGATAAAATACTTTTAGGTGATTCATTACGCAATGGCGCTCCTAGTTTCATGGTTACATTGTCGAGAGGAAGTGAGGGAAGCTCTGTTCAAGACTCCAAACTTTTCGTCATGGTTACAGCGATTGGTACTGGAAGATCCTGAGCCGTCGGTCAGAAGGGAAGTCTGTTCAGCTCTATACAGATTATGCTTAGGTGTATCGGCCAATGTAAACAGCGATTCTATGGACAACGGATTAGTTGCTCCGATGCTTGCTCAGTTGCTCACATACATGGATAAAGCAGAAGGCATGCGTCCTCAGAAATTTGAAGTAAACATTTAATTATTGCATAAAATTACGATTAAACTCTAATCTTTTCAGGTAATACAAGCACCGGAGGAAGGAAAAGAACCTTACGGCCCTGCGTGCCGCGATTATTTCTGGTTGGTCTCTAGACTTGTCGATAGTTTGCCGAGTGAGTTTATCAAAGGTAATCTCTGGTTATATTAATTCAATCAATAATATCGACAATTTTTCTTGCAGAAAGTTTAGAAGATCCGCAGAATTCCGTAATTGATGTGAACGGTTTAACCGATTCTATTGCCAGATCAATACTATCACGGGAATTCTTAGAAACGAGACATAGAACTGTCGATGATGACGGATTGGTGGGATTGTTAAATCTATTAACAAACTTGATCAAACACAAACCGCCGTTTCAAACCAGCAAGCAAGGGCAGGAATTGCTTTGCGAAGTAATTACTAAATTACATATAGTTTACAAATTAGAATGATGATAATAATTATTTCTTTTTAGATATTCAATTTCCTGTTTGCATTGCCGAGTCCTAAACTGAGACACGTTCCCAAATGCAAGAGCGCTCGCTCCCGTACCGCTGCATTCGATTTGTTGGTGGATTTAGTTAAAGGAGCTCCTGAAAACTACGATATGTTGCACAAGAAACTACTGAAGCAACATCAACCTGGTAAGGGTTTAATTATTTAATTTTAATTATTATTGCTTATTTATAATTATTAGGACCGAACTCGCCATATCCTTGGGATTATTGGCCGCACGAAGATGGTCGTTCCGAGTGTGGATATGTAGGACTTACCAATCTGGGTGCTACATGTTACATGGCCAGTTGCATGCAACATCTTTACATGATGCCTCAGGCTAGAGCATCCATCCTTGCTGCAGATACGTTGCACTCCAAACACGAATCGACGTTAAAGGAATTGCAGCGAATGTTTGCATATTTGATGGTACATCTATTCAATCCGCGTTGCTTATTTATTTATTCTATGTTTGTTGTTTTTTATTTAGGAAAGTGAACGCAAAGCCTATAATCCAAGAAGTTTCTGCAAGGTGTATACGATGGATCATCAGCCATTGAACACTGCAGAGCAAAAGGACATGGCAGAGTTTTTCATAGATCTCGTAAGCAAACTTGAGGAAATGACGCCGGCGCTGAAAACGGTCGTTAAAAATTTGTTTTGCGGTGTACTAAGTAATAATGTAGTTTCATTGGTACGTAGTTTATTAGAATGATGTGTAAAGTATAATTAATAATGTATTTCGTGTTTCAGGATTGCGATCACGTTAGCAGAACATTAGAAGAATTTTACACTGTCCGATGTCAAGTTGCAGATATGAGGAATCTATATGAATCTCTGGATGAAGTCACTGTTAAGGACACTTTGGAGGGTGACAATATGTATACATGTTCACAATGTGGGAAAAAAGTCAGAGCCGAAAAGCGGTTAGTTACTTTATTTTCAAAGTTATTTGGATGGGATAATTTACGTATTTGCAATTTTCAGGGCTTGTTTCAAGAAGCTTCCTCATATCCTTTGCTTCAATACCATGCGATACACGTTTAATATGCTAACGATGCTCAAAGAAAAAGTAAATACACACTTTTCTTTTCCTCTGAGGTTGAATATGGCCGGATACGTTGAAAAGCAATTGATGCCGCAACACTATCAAGGTAAAAATAATATACTTCTAGAATATTATATTTTTTCTTGCCAAATTCGGAATGCTATTAAACAAATTTTAACAAAAAAAAATCTGTTTAACAGAGGACAAATTGAAAAGTGAACCGGAACAAGAACAATATGAATATGATCTAATCGGTGTGACTGTGCACACTGGAACAGCGGATGGAGGTCACTATTACAGCTTCATTAAAGATAGAACTGCCGGTGCTAGAGATAAATGGTTTCTATTCAATGATGCTGAAGTGAAACCTTTCGATCCCAATCAGATTGCAGCAGAATGTTTTGGTGGAGAGATGACAGTATGTAGAAAAATACTTGAGATGTCCATATATTATTAAGTAATTTATTTTTTTTAGAGTAAGACCTATGATAGTGTAACTGATAAGTTTATGGACTTCAGTTTTGAGAAGACGAACAGTGCATATATGTTGTTCTACGAACGGTGTCCACTCGTTCCAACAGAAAGCTCGGAATGCACATCCACGATGTTGGATGCATCCGGAGAAAATAATCTGCAATCGCCGTGCTCTCCAACGCCGAGCACTACTTTCGAATTGAGCAAAGAACTGGAAGATTGGATCTGGCAAGATAACATGCATTTTATTCAAGACAAGAATATCTTTGAACACACATATTTCAAGTAAATATTATTATTTATATTAATATTTTAATTATTGTTTCGATCTGTTTTTAGCTTCATGTGGCAAATTTGTGGATACATTCCCCAAACCATAATGCCTATTAAACCGGACATCACGCAACGAGCTGCCGAACTTTCGACCTCGTTCTTCATCGAAACATTTATACACGCTAAAGAAAAGCCGACGATGGTCCAATGGGTCGAACTAGTTACTAAACAGTTCAATGCTTGTCAAGAGGCGTGCGTGTGGTTCTTAGAACATATGGTTCGCGACACTTGGTGGCCGGTCCAGGTGCTTCTCAAGTGTCCGAACCAAATGGTCAGGCAGATGTTTCAGAGACTGTGCATACATGTGATTCAAAGGCTGAAGTGAGTATCACCATTCCATTTAATTTGTTGACCTGACCCATTGTTATTTATTAGGCAAAGTCACTCCAGCCTTTACCTGCTAGTCGATGAAGATTTATCTGCGGATTCGTCGCAAGCAACGGACGATGAGAATGTCAATATAGAACCCAGCCGCATAGGAAACGCCTCTTGCGTCACTAAATTTGTAAAGACGCTTCTGTCCTTAGTAAGTGTATGTTGAAAATAATGATTCATTCAAGCCAACCAATCTCCAATCCTCCAGCAATATTTAAGTTTCGATTCATTTTAGATGGAGCATGGAGCTAAGGCTCATCTCAAGCATCTTACCGAATTCTTCGGATTTCTATACGAATTTAGTAGAATGGGCGAGGACGAATCAAAGTTCTTGTTAACTGTGGGCGCCATCCACACCATGGTGGATTTCTATTTAGGCCACAAAGTTAATGATTTTGTAAGCGTTTCAAATTAATTGTATTATCAACACTGAATTACATAATGTTATTAGGTCGATGTTAGTGAAGGGGAGGAAGAGGAAGAAGTTGTAACTTTGCCTACCGATAAGTACAAACCCGCGTCTCTAGATAAGATGATAACGCTTATTGCGTCTCTGGTCGAGAAAAGCAGAGACTCAGATTTAAGACTGAAACTTAGTATTAAAGATTATAACGCGGTTGCCGGCGGCAAGGTAAGTTCTGCATCTGATGCGACGATTTTAGTATATTAAAGCTTTACATTCACAGGGATTCCCGTTCCTATATCAACAAATCAAAGATAACATTAACCTTCAACAGACTAGAAACTTGATTCACTCCCTATGTCGCGGCAATGAACGTTTAGCAACGTCCATTATAGGAATGCTGTCGCAGGCTATCAGCAGGAATTCTGACGTATGTTTTTAATTGCATTTAACAAAACAATCTGATTAACTTTTTGTTTTCAGTCGTGTCAGCCTTTTTTCAAACTGCTGACATTGTTGACTGAAGGAGGTAATCAGAGTGCCGCTGGTCCTTCAGGATTACCTTGCTTCACGCAGCTGGTTTTGCAGCGTGTTTGGGAAGCGGCCGAGTGCTGTCCCCATTCCGCGCTGGATTGGTTGGCTTTACAGGTCACCAGGAGTAGGCTCGTCCACCAATGGGTGTTGACCTCACTTGATTCTTGGTTAGAACACTTTTTAATTGCTCACGGAAATCAACGTGTTAGAAATGGTATAGTAGATGCTCACCGTAAAGTTACTTTTAATATAATTTAAAAATTTATGTTGTAGCTGCGGGATTCCTGCTGGTATCTTTAGTACCGAGCACGCAGTTCAGGCAGGGATTTCGTGCCACCCATCGATTACACAGGGAACTGTCGCTCTCGCCTGAGGCAATGAACATCTTACATCAAATTTACACAGCTCTGCTGAGGTTACTATCTCCAGCAAAGCACTACACAGATATGCAACAACACGGAACAATGAAACTCACCACTTACTTTGCTCTACTTGTGTACTGCTGCATTACACGCACTGAGAAATTAATGGTAAGTAATTCAAAAAAATAATTATGAAATCTAGTTTGATTTTTTTAAAAATATTCAAACAAAGCTACATTTTAATCATAATATGATATAATAAGAATTCAATTAATTTCAGTTTGGTCAATATTTTCTGCATTTGTGGCATCTGTTCCACCCGAAACTATCGGAGCCGTCCATACCTGCACACCACAATAAGCAAGCACTTTTGGCATTTTGGAACCACGTATGCACGGATTGTCCCGAGAACGTGCAGTTGATGCTGCAGAATGCGCACGTAACTAAGAACATTGCGTTCAATTATATTTTGTAAGTATTTTGCAGCAATCAGCAAACAGTTTGAAGCCTATCACTGATTTAGTTGTCCGTCTTTCAGAGCCGATCACGACGATCAAGATATTGTAGTGTACAACAGAGCGATGCTACCGGCATATTACAGCCTCCTTCGTATGATGTGTCAATTGTCAAGGATATTCACGAGGCAATTGGCGCAGCATCAAAATCTCCAATGGGCGTTTAAGAACATTACACCGCATCCGTCCCAATATCCGACGGTCAGTACAATCAATTAATTTAATGAATTAATTAGTAACATGTATAAATATTCTAATTGCAGGCTGTCGAAGAACTGTTCAAACTTATGCAACTGATGGTTATGAAGAATCAGGAGTGTTCTGAGACGGATCAAAGGGAGATTTGCAGCTTTAGGCGTACAACTTTAACAACTTACTTACAAGTAAGTCAAAGATCATCTTTCGTAATAATTGTAATGTTTATACTGGGTGATTTCAGTGTTTAGATGGTAGAACGAGTTGGGCAACCTTGATTTCGGCTTTTAGGATATTGGTCGAATCGAACGATGATAAACTTTACGTGGTATACAACGGAGGTCTTCAAATTGTATTTGAGGTTCGTAGTAATTTCTTCTGCTCGTTTATTGGTAAATTCTATAAGTAAATGTTTGATTGCAGTCGTTCCAAAATTTACACGTAATGTTGCACGAAGCTACTGCATGTCACGTTTCCGGCGAACTACTGGAGGTCCTTGCGATAATGTTGGAGTTGACGCGTTGCGTACGTATGTATCGTGATACCAAAGACGCTCGTGGTATTTTATTGGCATGCAAAGATTGGATAGAAGTTCTAAGAAAGCTGGCCTCTCTTTTGAATACATACAATCCACCTGATATGAGGACTTATTGCATTGGTAATTTTTGGTGTGCTGTACGCGAATTGATTTATTAATTTCAATGAATGTTTTAGAAATATTGAAGGAATTTGTATTGGTGATGCCTAGCGAGGTAATGCAGATTTTGGTACCGCTTCTTTCGCATTGTCACTCGGCTTTCCAAGATAGTCACGATGCCGTCCCATTGGGTCCTTACTTCCCGAAGCGAGGACACACTGTGCCGAACGTCTCGGGAAAAGGCATTTCCCGACCAATCAGACCAATGGTTCAGATGACCGTACCGCAAAATCAACTGGAGAGCAGTCGAGTAAGTTTATGATTAGAGTATTTTTTTTTAACTAGAAAGTTCAATATTTCTTTTCGTAGGGCGTTGATTCGGAGTATGACGAATCTTTGGATAAATTTTATACGCCATACCATGAGTTCATCGATATGCTCTGCCGGCTGGCAGTGAACTCCGAGAGTCTTTCGGACGTGATGGTTACGCTAAGTGCGATGGTCGGGTTCGAGGCTGTCCCATTGCACTCCACCTTCTTTCCAAAATTATGGCTGGATGTACTTCGCGTACAGGTATCTCGTCAAACTAAATCTTTCAATTATTATTTGTTAATCTATTTTTATTTCAGCACGTGGATCGAAAATATATAAGTATGCTAACGTCCTGCAATTATTTCGTCGATTATATAGACTCCGTGTTGTTGGATGAAAGAACTGCTTTGACTGTTGATGTGATATACGAATTTTTGACAACATTTTTCCCTAAGGTATGCAGTTATTACAGATATTATTTAAATGATGTTATTTAACAAGAATGTGTTAAGGTTTCTGCGCACGTTCTATCCGAACAAACCTTGAATATGATCGACAACACTGTGGTATCGTTGAGTGAGCAAGTTGGCTCGATGGACGTGAGGAAGACGGCCAGGCGTCTTGCTGGAGATCTTCGAGCTCTGATCCTCGTCTACAACAGTCCTGAAGCTGTTCCACCGAACTTACTTGTTGGAACTTTGAAACAGCTGCTGAAGAATGTGGAAGCGGAAATTGCGAAAATTAAACCAAAAGGTAATGAATGTTGTAATATTTAGCATATTAACTATCTTAATATCGCTTTTTGCAGAAGAATCGAAAAGCGCTCCTCCAGGAAATACGGACGACTGTGATGATGCGAAACCTAGTACTTCAAAGGGCACGGGTTCGGTGGAAAGCAAGGAGGTTGGCGTTAGTGGTAGCAGCAGTAGTAGCGGCGTTACGAACACCGAATCTAAGAATGAGAGTGACACGGAAGTGCACCATGCCGGGGATGGCTGCGACGACGACAAATCCAAAGTTCCGCTGAGAAATCTGAAGCTGCTTGAAACAACGATAAACGAATTACTGGTGATCGTGGAGAAGCAGGCCTGAACGTGTACATTTACTCTCTCCTCGTCGCCAATCGTCCCCCAATCCTCGTTTTTTTTTTATAACTATATAAAATATATATATGTATATTTGCCGTTGTTGACCAATATGTGTGTTCACTACTTGTTGGCTTCCTGATGATGATGTCTAGGAGCGTATTAAAAAAAAAGAATTATTTATATTATTTTCTCTGTTTATTGTAAAAAGCTTTTTTTTTATTGATCTACTACAATTACCAATGCGTTTATATAATTGTTTTTTTTCTCTCTCTCACTCTCTCTCTTTCTCTCCATCATCTTCTATACTTTAATTTTTCGTTCTTCAATCTCAAAATGTAGCAGGGTAATATTTCCTTTAAGTTTCTTTATTCTTCTATTATAAATTTATGTATGTACGAGGCATGTTTTCGCATATTTTGTACATTTTTTTTTTAGTCATTAAAATGTAAACCAAAAGAATTGTTTTTCGTTGAGCAAAGGAAGGAAAGAAGTAATAAGAATAATAATGAGGAGGATTCACGTATTTTGAGACTATTCTTTGTATTTCTATTTCATTATTTAAGACTGTTAATAATAAATTATCTCTTTTTTTTTAATCATACTCTAATCTGTTTTCGTACGTCTTTACTTACCTAATTTTTGTTGTTTATTTTTTTTCAAATAATATTACTATTATTATACGGATATTCCTGAGTCAGATAGTTGTCATGTTTCAATGTATAGAATACAATGTTACTTTCTTCTCGACTTATATAAATAATATAACCTAATAAAAACAGAACAAAAATAAAGTCTATTACTTCTTTGTGGTTGGTTTTCATTTTCTTTTAAATCGTATTTATTTATTTAAAAACATTTCTCTTTTTTTTTTGTTGTTTTTTACAGAATACATACATCTTTACAACGCTGTTATCATCGAATCCAATTAATTATTTTATTTAATAAGAGAAAAAATTGCATGAAAAATGTAATTTGTGCGTCAAATGATTTCTTTTTGTTTTGATCTAATCATTTAAATTGAGAAACGAAGCAAGAAGCCGTTTATTTGTGTATAATTTGAGATGAGGAAAAATTAGTCGTATAAACTAAATATAATATGCACATTTGAATTACTTACTTACTCACCATAGAAAAATAAAATATTTATTTTGATGCAGACATTCAAATAACAATATCTCAATATCGGAATTAACGAAAAGATTTCTAATTCAAATCGACCTTTGAAACTGAAATAACAGCAACCATCGTATGATGTTTCAAGTGCATTAATAAAATTATGTTTTCTTATCTTAAGGTTTGGATGTCCCATATTGAGATTAATTAAAACATTTATATATTTACATAAACATTAATTTAACAATCCTTTTTACGTGTGTATTATATACAAACAAGAAAAACGTAAATATAGAAGATAGTGAGTAAGTTATATAAGTTATAAGAACGAACAATTTGCAGTGAATTTGCATGCACCCAATTTAATTTAATTAAGGGTGGTGATTCATCGAATCCAATAATAATCGTCAATAATGAAAATTGAGTAAAATGTGCTTAATTATTTGGACATAATATGCATTATTTAAAAATACCATAAAAATTTATAGAGAGCCTCTCTTAAAATTGTATGGCGGCGATGCAAAAAAAAAAAGGAAACGAACTGTAGTAGGAATGACCAGAAACAGTGTTTGTTTCATATTTGGTATAGTAAAATCAGTCGTAAATTAAACAGAAATATGAAGAATAAATAGGATATTTTTATGTTGGTTTCATGCAGCTTATGAAACACTCAATTCTTTGTTTTGCAAGGACATATTTTGGCACACTTTGCGAACATCGGAGTTCACGTTCATTCGTTCTTGGTTTCGCGCAGACCTTCACTATGGATGGTGCGGCCGGTCATTTTCAGTAAAGCTTTGTTCTCCACTTGGTTGTCGAGGATGCTGCGCTCTTCACGGTCTGCCGGCGGTGGCGGCGGTTGACCCAAACCCCAAACCTCGAGATGCCTATAACTGAATTCCTTCACATGGGAGAGTTGCGTGTACGCTTTGTACGTTGTACAGGATTCGCTTGTATGACCGGATCCGTATTCCGAATCCAGCCAGAGACCGCAGTATCCGTGCTGACCACCCATCGCCTATAAAAAAAAAATAATCATTTAAATTTCTAGTCTTTGGAAATGTGACTTAAGATGAAAGAGATTTATAGAAAAGGTTGTTATGTATTGAATTGAATAATAAACATACCAGTCCATTGGGCATCGTCTGTTGATGCAGATTTAAGTACTGGAAATGTTGATTGTACCCTGTCGAGAAGAACATTCTCATGCGAGGAGCGAGGGTGAATAGAAAGCTGCTATCGTCGCCGAAGAAATTCGGCCCTAAACTCCAGTTGCTCGGTGCAAATCCACCGAACATGAAACCATTCTTATCTTCGATTATGAGAACGGATGGTCCTTGATTAACTATTCTGCCTGGAAGTACAATAATCATAAATTCAATATATATATTTTTTTTGTTTCTCAAAAATTATTACCTATTAAAGTAGAAAACGATTCACCATGAATCTCGGAGGAAAACAGAAACCTCCATTCTAATTGGTACTGCTGCGGTAGATGCGCATTGATGAAGACGATTTGATTCAAATCCAGTATACTTGGATAGCTGGGTATCAGGTCTAAACCGCGACAATACGGCACCAAACTCCTGTCTTTGTCCGCTTCGACGATCGGAGCTTCCTCGCACGGATAATGCGCAACGTTGCTCTTCTCGGTCGAAGATGCTTGGACTTTTTCCCGATGCGAGATGCTGTACAGATGCTTGAATACGAATATGAAGAGCTGACCGAGAACCGTCGATCCTTGCAGCCACACTTCCAGCGAATGTCTTGTGATCAATTCGCCCGTTGCCAATTCATGGATCAAACTCTCGGCTAAACGTTGAACGTTTTGCGGCGATATGAAGCAACCGCGAGACTGCCAGCTTTTGAATTGCTTGGTATTGCTTAACCTTTGGATTTTTGTATATGACGAGACTATGCTCTCAACGTACTGCAAGTAAATAGAATTTAGTTATTGGATATGTATAATCTAAGTATGAAAGTAAGTAAGAAATTCCTAATTTTCTAGAACAAAAAAAATTTTTAGACAACATTGTCGTGTCATTTTCTGTACATTTTCTAGAAAATTAAAATAATGCTCTACTAATACATGCATATAACATGCATAAAAAAGAATAGTTTTACTTAATTTCTCGGAAACTAACAAATTGAAAATATGTATTGAAAATGATCATTAAAGAATAAACTGAAGATAATAGAATGAGCTATAAATTATTTTCTTAAAATTTGAAGACATTTAAAGCCTCGAAAAGCAATCTAATCTAATACATTTAGTAAATATATTGAATATTGTTGATAAAGAAAAAAACTACAGAGAATGAAGTAAAAGTAGGTTTTGGTCACGATTTTGTTTAATCAAAATTTAAATAAGGAGATTTTAACGTGTAAATTAAAGAAACTTACTTCTTTGACTAGTAAATAAGGAACATTCGAGTTATCTAAGTATGAAAGTAAGTAAGAAATTCCTAACATTGTTAACTGAATCAACATCCGAAAATATGGCATATTAAGATTCACCACTTAACATACCAACTAAATTAAATAGTAATTACTATTTTCTGTACATTTTATAGAAAATTAATGTAATGCTCCACTAGGTATGGTCAAAAGATGGTATAATAAATAATAGTTTTACTTAATTTCTCGGAAACTAACAAATTGAAAATATGTATTGAAAATGATTATTAAAGAATAAACTGCAGATAATAGAATGAGCTATATATTATTTTCGTAGTACAAACGATTTTCGCGTAGAAAGATTTCAAATTTGAAGACATTTAAAGCCTCGAAAAGCAATCTAATCTAATACATTTAGTAAATATATTGAATATTGTTGACAAAGAAAAAAACTACTAGTAAAAGTAATTTTTGATCACGATTTTGTTTAATCAACATTAAAATAATGAGATTTTAACGAAAGTGTAAATTGAAGAAACTTACTTCTTTGACTAGTAAATAAGGAACATTCGAGTTGTCGTTCTCCTGCCGACCGAGCGAAACCAGAAGAACTTTCAGTTTCTCGTCCACGGTTCCTCTCGTACAGTAAACGAACAATTCGGCGAATCTTTCCAGGTCCACGGCCTGCGTTCTCGCTTCTCCACTACCAAATAAATAATTGTGTATATATTGTGAAAGCCTCGCATCCATCTGGGGTCCCCATAGTTTCTAAAAGAAAAACAATAATTTCGATTCAACAAATTCGATGTCAGAAGAAAAATCTCTTTCTGCTTCAACACTTGTGCGTGTAATTATAAGAAGGTGGAAATTTTATTTGGATTTTATTCTAATTACAAAAATTATCGGTAATTTTAGGGGTTTCATTACATTATTACATTGCTAGAAGTATACCTAATTGTACATTACTTAATGAAGATGTTATTAATGTATGCTCCAAATACTACTCCAAACTGAACAAGTATGAGTGATTTATATATGATTTGACTACTGCGTGTACATTTTAAATCCCAGTAAGAATTGGGATTCTAAATATTTAAAAAAAAAAATGTTTTCCGGGATCTTTTGCTTTCTTTCTTAAGTAAAAGTGTATGTTTATTCTATTTTAGGCCGCAGTTCCTTTCCTACAAAAGTCGTCGCAAATCGAATCGGCGTAAAATGAACCCATATTTACAGTGAGGCAACTATAGTGTTTAGTTCTATATAAATGTTAAATGAGCAATTAACAAGCGCAAAAGGACGTTTACCTGTATATATCTGAAATAAACATTTTAGTATTATTTTCATGCAATTGTAGATCAATTTTGACTTATGTTATTATAACTCTTGTTGTTAAGCTCTTCTACTTGAAGAAACATTAATTAACATGAACAAACTGTAGTATTGACATGAATAATCAAAGAACTCTTGGTAATGAGCAATAAATAGAAAGTAGTCATCTATTAATAAATGTATTTAAATATACTATATTAATATTCAATGCAACGTTCTTAAAGTATAACGTGATTGACATACGCTGCCAATAACAGGTGTTTCTTCATAATAGATTACTTAACCTTTTACATAAATCATGATGGTGTTTTAATTTTGATATGTACACTTATAGTGTTACGAACTTTATTGGAAAATATTGTAATAACATATTTTCACGGCACACCAACAGAAAACCGCGGTCCACTTTTTTTTTTGCAATTTTCGCCTTATTGTTTAAAATATTATTTTTTTAAGGAAAAAAAAACATTAAGTGATCCACGGAATTCAATATTTTAAATTTAGTAGTCCATGAGTTCAAAAAGGTTGGCGACCGTTCCTTTAAGTTCAAAGGTTTAAAGGAAGAAATTCATAAATTCCTAGACCCAACACATTTCTAGACAACTGCATCAGACAACATTGTCTATTGAATCAACATTGGATGGTATGGATTATCAAGATTCATCCCTTTGCATACCAACAAAATTAAAAGAGTAATTTCTATAAAATTATAATAATGTTCCACTAGGCATGTTCAAAAGGTGGTACAAATGCGTGTCCCAGCGTCCCTCAAAGAGTTAAAGCAGTACCGGGGATCGTCTATATCACAAGCCCGACAACCGAAAGACCGTCTATTGAAATCCCGACTGTATTAAAATCCCGAGTGTATAGAAATCCCGACGTTAGAAATCCCGGTTGTATTAAAATCCCGACGCTTGAAATCCCGACTCTGTCAAAATCTCGACTACCATAATCAAAATCCCGACTATATCGAAATCCCTACTACCATAAAAATGTTGTTGTAGAAATTTATAATAATAAAAGACACTGTCAGGATTTCGATTTAGTCCGGATTTTGACATATTCGGGATTTCGATATAGTCGGGATTTCGATACACTCGGGATTTTGATATAGTCGGGATTTCGAATGTCATGATTTTAATATAGTCGAGATTTTGATACAGTCTGGATTTCGAAGGTCGTGATTTTAATATAGTCGAGATTTTGATACAGTCTGGATTTCGATATAGTCGGGATTTTTCGGATTCGACAGTCGATTGTTCGAGATTTTGATATAGTCGGGATTTCGAATGTCGTGATTTTAATATAGTCGAGATTTTGATACAGTCGGATTTCGATATACGTCGGAATTTTGATAACATTGATCGGGATTTTGATAAGTCGGGATTTCGAATGTCGTGATTTTAATATAGTCGAGATTTTGATACAGTCTGGATTTCGATACAGTCGGGTNTTTGATACAGTCGGGTTTCGATACAGTCTGGATTTCGATATGTCGTGATTTTGATACAGTCTGGATTTTCAACGTCGGGATTTCAATACAGTCTGGATTTCGATACTGTCGTGATTTTGATACAGTCAGAATTTTGATACGTCGGGATTTC